TGCTCTGTTTCATTAAGACATGCGTTCGCTGCCACAAAATCAAAACTGATACGATAACCCAGGTATCCAACCATTCAGTCAAAACTGAATGCTATCTGCTGTACAAAACACAAGCGCTTTTCCAAAAAAACACAGCAGATTCCATTGCTCAAAATCACATTGAGCCAATGCAAAGAACATGCAGAACCAATCGAGCTAGTTCTTCGATTTTCTGCAACTCAAGCTCCACCATAGTGCCAAGTTCCGATTTCCATAGGCGCCAAACAAGTTGTCCTTGACAACTCCAAACAAAACATGGTGAGCAACCCGCTTGAACCAATCCTGAGGAGACTAAACAAAAGAGGCTTCAAATTCTCTGTCAAAGCAACTTCAAGAAAACGGTACCAAAAAACATCATGTCCGATCAACCATCGAACATAATACTGCTCTCTTTAAGCTCGAATTAATCAAAAGAGCCAAACAAGTTCTTCGAGACCTAACGCAAGTTCTCCACCAAACAAAACTGGACTGTGGATGCAGTTAGGCTCTAACCAATTTGGAAGTATCGGAACAAACTTCAAATGAACTGATAAAATGCCAAGAGCCAAAAAATTCTGAAGTGTCGAGCAAACTCCAGATTCCTCCAACTGCAATTCAAACCGGTAGACATAAGATGATGCACCATCTTCACAGCTACCAAAAACCGCCCAAAGGCGCGTGCACCGTAAATGCACAACTCCAACAGTCCCCGTTGACTCCACCGAATCTGCAAACAATCTATCCCCTCCAAATCCAACGGCAGATTAAGGGATGGATCCCAACACATGAGATTCACAAAATCACCATCTTCACGTTTCTCCTCAGCAATCTCTTCCAATCTTCAATGAACACCAACGGTCAAACCGCTTCCAGAGAAGCAAACACCCGGAGTCTGAATCGTCACCTAGACTACCAATAGCTGATGTCTTCGAATATGGAACAAATTGCGAAAATGAAAATCCACAAGAAGAAACAATCAAGTCTCACAAACCGGAGACACCCTTGGATCTAATCACACACAATCATAGATCCCAACTATGATGATGAATCTCAATAAACCACGACTCTAAAAATCGCCAATAATCTATGAAAGACTGCCAACAACAATGCCTCTAATAGACATTGAACAAAAAATGCCAAAGCTCCACCAAGATCTAAAGTAGATTGTCACACCTTCTTCAAATCGACAAATGCGGAAACCAAGGCTCCACCAGATGCGAGTCTTCCAACAACGATCCATGAAGAATCTCCAACGCCTCCACAGAGACCAATGCCAATAAAGTACTACTATTTGGACTTATTACATATGCCAAATCTCCGTAGTACACACCGCCAATGCTGGTTCTCTCTATCTCCTAGAGAAAAACCCAATGAACTCTGAAGTTCTGTAACTAACCCAAGAGTCTCCAAATGAACTGATAACTTTTGCAACTGACTCTAAAAGGTCTTCAATTGGCTTCCAATTGGCTTCAACCCAGTGAACAAAATTTTTCACCCCCATCACCCACATGGATGATAAAACACCGTTGTACAAATATGCCTCCATTCCACCGAGTATCCGGTGTGAATCTACACCTCCTACTTGGAATGTCTTCAACTGCCACACATCATCTTGCATGTCTCGCACCTCTATCACCACGTACTTGCATCCTCCAATAGAATGCTCACCGTTTCCCTGTTGAGGTGACTCCACCCAAACTCTCTGGGTGCCCGTCTCGACTTCACTGCCACGAACCAGATTCAGGACAAAGAAAGAGATTTGCCTCTCCTTGGGTGCGCACTGCATCGTCTTACCCTTTCAATTTCTTTGTCTAGAGCTTTTTTTTTTTTTCTGTGAACTAGTTGATGCTGCCAGGCCAAAATCCGGCACACTGCACCTTTGTATGATTCTGCTGCGTACTCTTGCACTGTTGTATACCTACACCTTGTATGACATTCCTGCGAACTCATCTGTGCTATTGTGACTACGTGCTCCTACACCTTATGTGTGCACTGCTGCAGCTGTTGCTCTTCTATGTTTACATATTACCAATACTTCTTGTATTATGTTTGACATTAGCTCTAATTGCCACAACATTCCCCTGAGCCTGCACTGGTTGCCAATCATCTATCTGATGAAGTGGACTTTTGATTGAACCAGATCTTCCGATTACCTCAACAACCAGGAAAGTTCCCAGGAAAGACTGGTGGGGTCACAATCGGTCCCACTTAAGAACCAGTCTCCTTAGACAGTGTCTTTTTGACAGAACTTTCCTAGACATTGTTGATCTTGAGATAATCATGTGCAATTCTTCTAATCGCCCTTGACCAATCCTGATCTCCATTGATTTGTCATTTGATTAAGCCTGATCTCCTTTGGTCTTCAATGATCTATCTCGATTTGTATCTGGTTGTCTAATCTGGTCAGAATCTGCCCATTCTAACCTCTTCAGTGAATCCGCAGCGTTCTACAATATCCGGCAACCTTCCTTCGTCTATTGAAGATAACAAACTCCCATATTTTGACAATCTTTCAAAACCGTTCAGAATTTCACTATTCTGACCTCGCGGTTGCGTCCGGAACGGTCCGTTTAGCTAGGACCAACCATCGCTGCACTTCCAGGGACCTCACTGAAAAATATCCCTGAAAGTTGGGCCACACCACAATTTTTTGAAAATTTTGGGCCAAATTGCAATTTTTAGAAGTTTAGGGAATATTCGGTGTACCAACAGAATATTCTGTCCGCTGTAACTGATGCCGTCTGCCACTTTAATCTGCCTTCTTTTTACAGAATATCCGATTCCAAAATCTGACCGTACGGATGTGTCCAGAATACTCCAAATAGTTGGAAACCACTATTGGATCACCAAAAATGGACTCCAAATGGCTTAGTTCAAGCCAAAACATTTTGTACGCCTCAGATTTGCGGTTGCACCATAGCCGCAGCACACTGGATCACTCCTCATGAGGCTGCACCTTAGCCGCGAAGCACTGGATCCTTCCTCAGGCGGCTGCACCCTTGCCGCGTCGCACTAGATCCCACCTCTGATCGATGACGTGGCAGATGACTGTGCTGCCATGTGGCGCTAACTGGCTGATGTGTCGATGACGTGGGATGCCACGTGTCGATGTCGTGGATGACACGTGGTAGTGGTGCTGACATGCTACTACTAACGTGGCTGTTGGCGCGGCGCCACGTGGCTGGCGCGTGTCCCACACGTGTGATCCCTAGTCACCTTCTTCCTCGCGTCGCGCGTGTGGCGCGTGCACGAGACTGAAACAATGCGCCGTATGTCTGCACGGCGTGTGAAGGCATGTGCCGAGACTAGGCCTCACGCGCCATTTTTAGGAGGCGCGTGAAGGTGCGTCCTTGCTCCTCTGGGGCTCTGCTTTGTATGTTTGGACTCCTCTTATTGAGCCCTTGCTCCTGGTTTGCTCAAAATCGGATTTTGAGCAATCTGATTTCTGGGCTGTTTCAAACAACACACTGTTTTGTTCCAAAATGTCACCGACGAGGCTTTGATACCAATTGTTGGGATCGGGGATCCCACCCAAGACCTTATAGAAATCATACCAAGCAGAAAAACACACCCACACAGAAGGAGACACCATATTTAACGTGGTTCGGCGTTAAAGCCTACGTCCACGGGAGAGTAACCGGTTATCACTATACCAATGGAGAGATTATAGAAAGATTACAATAGAGGAGGAGCTCACACTCTCCTCACTCAGCCACTCTCCCGTCTCCCTCGCTCACACCGAAAGAGACGGTCTCTCCGCCTCACATCTCTCACTCTTTCGTTTGTTCTCTCAGTTTGCTCACTCTCAACTCTCCTCTCAACCTCTCTATATATACACATTATAGATGAAGGTGGAGAGGCTAGCCTTGCACATGGCCAGCTCATTTCTTCTCATTTCAGTGGCCGTCTTCCTTGACATGGTTGGTGGCCTCCATTCTTGACTTGGTTGGTGGCCTCCTTCCTTGACTTGTGTGTGTTCCCATGGAGAAGAAAAAACATCACCCCCTTCACAAGGGGTGATATCAACAGCTGCGAGGTAGAGGCGGAGGCGACGGCGGGGCTGCGACGAGGCGACGGTGGGGCGACAATCGGGCGGAGGGGCTGCCATCTCTTCCCCTCTCTTCCTCCTCTTCCCCTCTCTTCTCTTTTCTCTTCTCTTCTATCTGATTCGGGGGATTCAGGGGGGGGGCTCAAATTCGGGGAAAAAAACATTTCCCTATTTTGTATTGATTAAATGACGTGAAATTAAATTGATTTGACTCAAACTCAAAATTTTAAAAATGAAAGTGACAATTAGAACATAGGGAATTATTACAATATGGAAAGTTATTTTAAAGAGAATAATATGTATAAAGCCAATGAGCATTAGGTTCATAACATTGTATTCTTCTACTAATCTACAAACATAGCTTTTTCTTAGTGATGGAGTCCATTCTAATGATGCCAAAACTTCCTCAAATATATCCCACAATTTGTCACTTCTGACTGGACAATTATCTCATCATATGAATTTCAGGTTGGAAGGAACATCAAATGTGAGAGTTCCATGAGAGTGCAAGGAACAGATCAATCTCTGAAAATCTGAAGGCAAAACCATAACCAAACCAGAGAAATATCTCACAAGGCGAACAATATGTCGGACAATCTACCACAAGAAGTGGTGTTTGATATCTTAGCAAGACTACCTGTGAAGTCACTATTACAAATGAGGTGTGTATGCAAATCATGGAACTCTCTAACAGTCCCAATTTCATCACATCACACACAAACCAAACTCTTGCAAACAACAACAATGAATTACTAATACTTAGGCACCATACTGATGACAAAGATCAGTTCACACTCCACTGCAAAAACAACGCAGTCAATGAGTGTACGACATTTGATTGCCCATTTACAAACTGGACAAAGTACTATTTGAGGGTAGTGGGTTTGTGTAACAGATTAGTGTGCTTTTCGTCTCATGATCAGACTACCATTTTATGGAACCCATCAATCAAGAGATGTTTGAATCTATGCCTCATGTTACATGTAAGTCTCATGGTTCTTATATGTTTGATCTTGGGTTTGGCTTTGGCTTTGATCCCCTAAGTAATGATTTTAAGGTGGTGATACTTGTGTATTTTCACGAGCGCTTTGGTTACAGGCTTCCAGCAGAGGTCGATGTTTATATGCTTAGCATACGGGCTTGGAGAACAATTGATACTGTTGCCCCCTCATATAACTTGATGCAATGTGTTTCGCATGTTTTTGTGAACCGGGCTTGCCACTGGATTGGTTTTGAGGCAATGACGAAGGAAATAAGGTGCTATTTGATATTGTCATTCGACATTGGTAGTGAAGTGTTCCATGAGATAAAGCTGCCAAATTGTTTTGCTAATGTGTTTAGACTAATTGCATCAATTGCGGTGTATGAGGAATCGATTTGTTTGTTCCATTATGATAGGGATTGTGGATATCTAAGTAAGAATTGTGATATATGGGTGATGAAATAGTATGGTGTGGTTGAGTCATGGACTAAATTGTTCACAGTTGATTTCGGGATAAGCAAGGTTGTAGGATTTCTAAATAACGGTGAATTTTTGGCAGAAGATAGAGAGAGGAAGTTGGTTACTTATGATTTCAAGATCGGGCAAATGGAATCCATGGGTTGAAGCGATCGTTTCATTTGGAGGATTACATGGAAAGCCTACTTCTACTTAAAGAAGGAAATGAAGTTTTCAAGGAGAAGGAAAAATCTAGTAATGTCCTTGACAAGGGTATAGCAGAAAGGTCGGAGTTGAGGAGATGCATTGATCAACAAGGAAGTCGGTCACGTGGTAGGTTCTTTGGTAGTGCAATGCCTGGCCCTCTCAGAAAAATTGGACTTCCTCGACCTTCTCACAGAAACTTGATTGATCGTCCACTTGAATTGGAAAGAAACCTATCCCAATCAACAATGCTAGAGGAAGCAGAGAATGATAGGAAGTTGTAAAAGTAATTTACTAATCGGTTGTTTAGGCAATTGGACGTGGTAGGTTCTTTTCAATTTTCTACGTAGAGATGTAATTGTCTTGTGCTGCGCTGATATGTTTGCCTTTTGAGATTCATTATCAATGTAAAACTTCAGATATGAGAAGATTTGTTTGTTAGATCGTGGTGTATCAGATCATTATTTAATGTTTTAAAGTCTTGATTTCAAAGTTTTTATAATTCAAAATAAGGTGTGATTCCGATTTGAAACATTGTAAATTTCAATTTATTGTCATACTTAGCACTGGAAGTGGACATCTTCTCTGTTGAACTCTAGCCATTTTTAATTGATTTAGTAGTTGTATGATCAATTGCATAAGACAAATTAAAGCCTTAGACTATTAATTTGGTGTCACTTTAACCTCAATGTTTGAAGTGGTTCAGAAACAGAAGTCAAATGCAAAATCTATTGCATTCTTGACAATTTCTATGTGCGTATTGCTTTGCAATCCAATTAACACTTCGTTTGTTTTTATGGAAAACATTTTTCAAAAAAAATTATTCGGCATAAAATGTTTTTTACTGTTTGGTTATGACTGAATTTGATGGTGCCAGTAGTTGTTGCGGTAGCGGCGGAGGTGGTGATGGTAATAATGGGGAGGCAGTGGCAGGATGGTGATGGTAGTGTACTAGTGTTAGTGGCAGAGAGGTGGTAGGTTGGTGGTGGTGTAGAGTTGGTAAAAATGAATTTCAAAAAAATTAAGCAGGTAAATGTAATTCATCCAAAATTAAAAGGTGTTTAAGGTTAACGTGAGCTTGTAACATTTACCATAAATAATCCACACTCAACACTGTGTTTGGTATAGGTTAACTTTCTGAAAATTAAATTTTTTCTTATTTTCGTGTATTTTTGTTTTTAGTGAATTTTTTTAATAATTTATATCTCATTTGTTAACATTTTCAGCTTACAAAAAGGTAAGAAGCATTTTTTCGTTTAATTTTTGTTAAAAAACAAAAACAGAAAACTTGTTTGGTGTACAAAAAAAATATTTTGAAATCAAATAAAAATAAAAATAGAGAAATATATTTGATGTGTTGCTGGATTTGATGGTTGGAGATGGACGGTGGACGGATTTGGTGACCGATAGTGACGGGTAGCTGAAAGTTTCCGCTGGACTTAGTGGTTAGATGTCGTAGAGGACATGATATTACCCGTGAAATTTTATGTTTACACATTTTGCTATAATTTCCCCTGCCATTACAATTACTACTTATTACTTAATACATCACATTGTTCAAAAGTTCAAATTCAAATTACAGAAACATCATATTGTCCAAATAATTCTACTTTCACAGCCTTGAAACCGTAAGAAAATTAATCATAGCTCAAAGAACATTCTCACTCCATGAAATTCCAACATGCACAAAAGTTGTCTTTCTTTGACGGTGTCGCAATAACCCCTATAGAAAACATACAAAGAAATTTGTGAACATATGGTTGGGAAGAAATAAATTAAAGGACATATTTTTTTAATTTCATTGAAAGGGTAAAGGGGCCAAACCCCTTGAACACAGGCATAGGGATTTGTAAGTCGGTCTCAAAAAAGCCTCAAGTCATATGTTTTATCTTACGCCCATCCAACATTCTTTGTTGTCTTTGTGAAATGAAATACATATAGTAATAATGCCATAAAGTTAGGGATTCTCTATATCCAAAATCTCATATTCTTGTACTTAATGAACAATCAACCGTATGATGTGCCAAGAATCTTGAAATAAAGAAATTTAAAGGCACGATTGTGCGATTGAGAGTGCTTTGAATACACGGGAATAGGAATTTTGGGTAAGACAATCTGTGCCATTCCATCAGTACAAGCCAGAGTTGCATGATTTTATCTAAAAATAGATCACAAAAACATTATAAATAAACAATACAATAAATCTAAAAACGTACCTACAAGTATAAAACTTATTGCAAAACAATGCCTTATCAACTTCAGTTTCCTTGCCTCCTCCTTTTCTCTCTTCTCGGCTTCCTTTGCTTCCTTCCAAAAGTCTCAATGAACCATTCGTGATACTTTGTGGTTATTGTGTGCCCAATAACCATCCCGACCATTATCCCACTCACATATCCCATGCATATGATAATCCAATCAATTGCACTTGGGAACACTGAATCATTATCTTGTTTTGAGTTCAATGGTGGTGATGGTGATGGTGGTGGTGCCTCTGACATTCCACATTTTGTTGACAAAGGCTCTCCGCACAATCCTGAATTCCCCTCATAAGAATTGTTCTCGAACGTGTTGAATTGCTTCCCTTGTGGAATGGGTCCAGTGAGATGGTTATTTGAGACATTTAAGAAAGCAAGGAAAGTGAGAAGCACTAGTTGCTGGGGAAGCTCCCCTGAGAGCTTGTTTTGAGAAAGGTCCAATGATTCAAGCTTTGTTAGGTTCGCTAAGTATGATGGGATGCCACCACTAAGGTCATTGTTGGAAAGGTTGAGTAGCTGGAGCCCCTTGAGGTTTCCAATAGATTCTGGAATCTCCCCTTTGAATTTGTTGCTTGAGAAATCAATGGCAATGAAGATATTCAAGATCTTCTCATACTCTCTATTTACACCTTTGTTTGTAATGGTCATTGTGTAGTAATAGCTTTCTCGGCCCAATATGTTGTTCTGTGCTGGGAAATTTGTGAGTGGACGCATATATGTCATATTGTCCATGTCAAAAAATTTCATTGCGTTCCAATTTCGAAAGTAATTTACTGGAAGGTCACCTGTAAAGCCATTATGAGAGAGGTCAATGATGCGCAAATTTGGTAACACCAACTTAGTTTCACGACTTCCTATTGCACCATAGAATTTGTTGGATTGCAAGATGAGAACTTGCAACTTTGTAAGAACTTCCAACCAAAAGGGAAAAGTATCTTCAATAAGATTATTTGAGAGATCAAGAATCTCAAGCACAGTACAACTAGCCAATGATCTTGGCACCTTCCCTTGTAATTGATTACGACTGAAGTCAATCATCTTCAATGTGTTTCCTTTATTGTACGGGTGAGGAATAGGACCGTGAAAGTTGTTGCCTTTGAGATTCAGGATTGATAGAGAATCACTGAAATTGCTCAAACATGGAGGAATAGTTCCAGACAAGTTGTTATTAGACAAATCAAGTGTGTGAAGAAAACTCAATCGACATAACAATGGTGGGATTTTTCCTGTCAATCTGTTGTATGAGACTCTGTAAGTTTGGGTGGATAATGGTGGAATTGGCAATGGTCCTTGCAACATGTTATGGCTAAGGGTTACCATGATCAAATTAACCCACGGAAGCATATCTGGATGCTGCTCAAAGCCTGTTAGAAAGTTTTCCTTAAGGTCTAAAAGCCTCAGAGTTTCTTTACTTGTGTTGGAAAACCATGATGGAATTTGGCCATGAATATTGTTTTCATGAAGATACAGAACCTCAAGTTCGTGTTGGAAGTGTATAAAATCTGGGAACTCCCTCAAGTTGCATGAACCTAGTAGTAACATCTGAAACTTTGGAAGAGTAGTATTAGTAGTGTTTTTGGGCAGCGATTTTATTTGGCTACCAGACAAATTGAGCTCAGTAAGATTTTTAAGCTTAAAAAAAATTTCAAGCTCAGAGACGCTGAGATTATTGTAAGAAAGATAAACAGCTTTAAGATTCTTTAGCTCAGAGAATGAGCCTGGGATTGGGCCTTGCAATAGATTATACGAAAGGAACAGATCGGTTAGTTGTGTTAGGTTACCAAGTGAAGCTGGAATGGACCCTGAGAAATAGCATTCAGTGAAATCTAAAGTCTTCAAGAAATTAAGATTTCCAATCGAGTCTGGTAGCTTGCCAGAAAAATTGGTGACAGCAAGTTCTAGATCCTGAAGGGGGCTATTTAGGTGAAATTTGGGCAAATGGCCAGTGAGATTTTCATTATAACACAAATTGAGAACTTGAAGCTTTGGTAGATGGAATATGCTTACTGGGAATTCACCACGCAGCCCACAATCTTCTAGAACGAGAGTTGTCAAGGAAGTTAAGTTGGTCAATGTATGAGGTACTTCCGAAGATATGATCACCTTACTTAGATGAAGCTCTTTGAGGTTAGTCAAGTTTTGAAGTAAGCTTCTCAGACCAAACTTTTCAAGTTTCAATAGTCTTGCTTTTGATGAGTGAATACTGTCAGCAAAACTAACATCATAAAGAGGATCAAAATTGTAAGAAAGATCAAGCAAAACCAATTTTGACAATTTTGAGATCTCTGGAGGGATTTGACATGAAAATAGAGATAGGGAAAGGTTAAGACTTGTTAACCTTGAGAGATGGCCAATTTCTGATGGGATACAAGAGTAATTGAAGTCATTGTCGGCGAGGTTAAGTCTTTGAAGGTGAACTAGGCTGAAGAGGCTGCTACTTGAATTCAGAAAACCATAGAGGAAACTGCTGCTGAGGTCAAGGCCAATCACATGACCTGTGTCCTGGTCACACTCGACACCATCCCATGAGCAGCAATTGCTACTTTCTTTTTTGTGCTTCCATGATGCAACCTTCGGATAAGAAGAAGGATCACTAGAAGCGGATTTGTCAATTGAAAAGGTTTGCTTGAATTGCAACAGGGCCGAGGTCTCATCAGCACGGGGTAGTGGCTGCACGAAAGAGTTAGAATCAGAGCCAGATGTTATTATAAGATGAAAGCAAGAGAGTAGGAAGAGTAAACGCATGAACACAAAGGGATACAAAGAGGAACCCATATTCCGTTAACTATATAGATCTCCCTAGAAGTATTGGATGAGCAAGAGAATGGTAATTAGTAGGAGCTTTTATAGACAAGATTTTGAGTGTTGGATTTGCTAAGATAGATCATAAGCTTGCACATTCTTGAAAATAGACCTCTTCACCGAGTCTTTAGTAGTGTCCTTCAAATTCCACTTCTATTCTACAACGAAGACTAACATTGTGTTTAGTTGGGGGATTTGGAAAAGGAAAGGGAAAAGGCGTGTGAATTTAGGTGAAATGTAGGTATATTTTATTTACATTTCGCCTGCTTTTTTCATTTTTCTTTCCCTTTCCCTTTCCATTTCCAAATCTCTTCCCAAATCCAAACAAACACAGCGTAAGGGACTGAAAAAGGAGATGATGTGTGATAATTACATGTTCATAATAGTCTTCACAAGACTCATTCAAATTTTGAATACCATTCAAGATGGAAACTGCAAAAGGGACTGTTATAAATGCATTTCGTTTGTGGTTGTGTTGGTTTTAGCTTTCACTGTTTTGAGTTATGTTAGTAGTTGTATAAGCTTTGAATGAGTCGACTACAATCAAGATTGGTTAAGTGTTCTTTGGTTTTGAAAATTGGGTGATTGGGAGTGGAGTATTTCAACTTTATGATTTCATTTTTCATTACCTTTTGACTTCTCTCACTTGGGCTGGTTGGGTGGGTGGGTGGAGTGTTAGCATCACTCACTTGTGCTGGTTGGGTGCTGGGTAGAGTGTTAGGGAATCTGGTGAGCCCACATATAGGCAATAATACTGGCCCAATATATCAGAGATAAACTTTAGAACCCACACGTACATAATACTAGGATCCACATATAGGCGCTGTTTGGGAAGGAATTTTTTTGGTTTTTTTTTTACTAAAAGACAAATTGGTTATAAAATCAAAAAAAAATAAATCCAAACAAAATATCACATCAAACCCCATAATCATTTCACTTTTTCTCTCACAAGTATCACATCCAATCACAAAAAAACTCAACTATCTTCCCAAACACAAATTTTTTTTTTCTCCAATAATATCCTACAACTAAAAAAACCTACAAAAAAATCCACTTCCCAAACATCCACACATTGTTTGAAACTCCTACTTACTTAAAAACTTAAGCCGTAAGTGGAGAGTTCATGCAATATATTAAGACTCTTCTCTTTTTGTTCTTTATTCGATATGAGATTCTACCATGAAGATACTCCAATATAGAGAAACATGACTTATGGAATGCAATGTCAGGTACATAGGTCATGCATACAACATATATACAAGATGCATATTATATATATATATATATATATCTTAGTGTTATTAAAGGCGATAGGCGCACTAAAGCGCCAAGGTTTCTTAGGACCTAGGCGCAAGGCGAGATCCAAACGAGGCTCATGTTTACGATAAAAAATAGATAATTTAATATAAGAAAATAATTCAAGATTCAACATAAGTAAAATGTAATATTAAATATTTTAAATATAAATACTAACAAACTCCAATATTTTATTATAGACAAATAATTCAAGGTTGCACATAAACACAATCATCTAATTCATAAGTTATAAACATTTGAAAATAGCGACAAAATCGATGTGTCTTACAAGATAAACATAGAAAAGGAGAAGGAAATTGAGGAGATGAAGAAGAGTAATGACAACTATTAGTTTGGTCAAAGAGAAAGTTCTATCCAACCAGCGTCTTTGTATAATTAGGGCTAAAAAAGTATCGGGTCGCAATGTATGCTTAATGGTTTATCCCTTGTAGTAGCATGTAACAAAAAGACAACGAGATTACGTGAAATCAAGGGTATATAATAAATAAACATTTTAAAAGAAGCGCAAAAATTGTGCGCCTTGGGCCTAGGCCCAAAGTGCAAGCTTCATGTGCCTTTATGGGGCTTGTTTTACATTGCCTGGCCTAAGATGTTCCGAAGTGCATTGATTGCACCTTGATGAGCCTTGGGCTAGGCACACGCCTAGGCGAGCCTCTAATAACACTGATATATCTAAGTTATATATCTAAGTTATGATAATTGGACTAGTAAATTATCAATTCAAAATTGGTTCATCCTATTAAGGTGTTTGGTTATATCCTAAAGTGACGGTGTTGTCCCTTGGTATTGGTGGGCAAGGCCGTCACCTGAGACCTCAATTTTTTTGATGAAATTTAGGATCCCAAAAGATTTGGCCCTTATACTAGGTCCTTTTTTTTTTTTTTTTTTTTTTTTTTTTTTTTTTTTTTTTTTTTTGCTTTACTTATTAGGCTTCAAATAAAAATTACTTGAAAATTTATCTAGAAAAGTGATGTGGAACCCATATTTAATTAATGTATGATACAATCCGCATTTGAAATGTATTTTATCCACACAATGTTTTTTTAGAATAATTTTCTCTGTAAATTTTTGTAGGTCCCTAGTATTGTTTAAAAATTATGCAAAGCAAAGGGTCTCAAAATGTCATTGGGTTGCAGTTGCATCTAAGGACAGAAGTGTTGGAAATGGTTATAAAATTCTGGGTAAAATCAGAATTTTTTCCTAAGTTTGGTCTATTTTTTAGGTGGGTTCCATGCATCGATTTTCACGGGTTAAAGTGGTAACGCGTTCTATGCCGCGTTGTGATTCACGTGGTATATTTGGTTGCTCAAAACCATTACCGAGCGAATAGAAAATTGAAGCCAAAATATGCTCCATGGAAATGGAGTTTTGGTGGAAATTCCTTAAGGTTGTAAAATGGCTTGTCCCATATTGATTTGGTGGGAAGTTTTGAATGGGTTTATAAGGCTTGGGTTTGGTACTTGGGATGTGCCCCAAGGGGTACCCAAGTGTTTTAGAGGGAGAGGTTATGGGCAAAATGGGTTAGACACATTGGATCCAAAAATCATCACACGCGCGCCGCCGCCGTCCGCTTGGGCGGGCTGGGCTTGGGTGCATGGTGTGAGGTTGGGTTGGGCTTGGGCTTGTTCGGCCCAATACTAATCTTTTTGGGCCAAAAACATTTGAATTTTATTTTATAAAATAAAATAAAATTCAGAATTCAAATTAAACCAGAAATAAACTGGTTTGGTTTTACTGTACATCCAAACAAGGCCGTTCCCGAAATAAACTAGTCTGGTTTTTAACGTACATCCAAACAGGGCCCTTCCCATTTTTGTATCTGTTTAAATTATGAACCTAACAGATTCAAATCTGTTTGAATTCAAAACCAACAGGTTTCATACCTGTTCAATTCAAAACCAGTAGCCACCTTTATATCTATGAATAGACTAGCCTCCCATTTGGATTTCACTTCGAATTTTCGTACTCCATCTTCTGCTATAAATCTCTGCATTTTGCTGCATTTAATTTCTAAAAGAAAGAGCGTAAACATTTAGTGTGTTCGTAAAGCAAACAATTTGTAGTGCTGCTATTGTTTGTAGTAGATCATTTCATCCTGGGAGATAGACGTCCAAATTCTGAAAGCACCGTGGAGAGGACGAATCTGTCTTAAGGACACAGTGTCAAACACTAAACTTGATTAGATTATAATTCGAATAAATTAAATCAAGTAAGTTATTTAATTTATTTTCAGTGTTATTGTTATTTATTTAAATCAGATTTTAATTTTGTTTTTGTAACAAAATAAAATCTGTTTTTATTTATTTATTTTTATTTCAAGTTTGATTTTTGTAATCAAACAAATTCTCTCCTTTCCTTTAGTTCTTTATATTCTGGTTGTTGTTTAGTACACAACAGAATTTAATTTATTTAAATACAGTGAAGATTGACCAACAATCTTAAGACATAATTTTTTTTTGATATCTTCATTGTATTTAATTTTCCTGTGATTTCATAGGACATATTTTGGTTGGAAAAATAAATAGTGGTTTATGCTATTTGACAGATAGTAGTAATATACTGTCTCTTTTCTTTGACAACTAGTAGTAATATACTGGTGTCATTAACAATTGCAGAATATTAATTTGTGTTACAGAAAATTATTGTGATATTTTATTTTTCTAGTTTTAGTAACAAGGAAAATAAAATTATTTTGTGTTATAATTTATTTTCTTGTTTTAATAACTAGAAAATTAATTTGTGTTTTACTTTTTTCTGATTTTTGTAATAAGAGATTATGGCTACTGCAACTGAAATTGCATCTGGTAGTGGTACTCCTATTGTTACACCAACACCAGTTCAGAACCATGTTTCATGTACCAATCAATCATGGATAAAAATCGAAAAAATTTAACGGTACCGAGTTTAAGAGATGGCAACAGAAGATGCTATTCTATCTTACAACTCTTAATTTGGCCCGGTTTCTCCATGAAGAGGCTCCAGCACTTAAAGAGGATGAAAGTGATCGGCAAGTTGTTGCCGCTGTAGATGCTTGGAAACATTCAGATTTCCTGTGCAGAAACTACATCCTCAATGGCCTTGACAACATGCTGTATAATGTATACAGTCCTTTGAAGTTAGCAAAAGAATTGTGGGATTCTTTGGATAAGAAATACAAGACAGAGGATGCCGGCACGAAGAAATTTGTCGTCGGTAAATTTCTGGATTTTGTTATGGTAGACTCCCAAATGGTAATATCTCAAGTTCAAAGTTTTCAGATAATTTTGCATGATATTCATTCAGAAGGTATGTCTCTTAGCGAGTCTTTCCAAGTCCCTGCTTTAGTGGAAAAGTTACCACCGGCTTGGAAAGATTTCAAAAATTATTTAAAACATAAACGCAAAGAGATGACTATGGATGAGTTGATTGTAAGATTACGAATTGAGGAAGATAACCGAAAGGCTGAAAAGAGGAATGAGAAAAATCCCATTGAGTCCAAGGCTAATGTGGTTGAACAAGTTCATAAACCACATAACAAAAAGAGGAAGTTCACGGGAGATGGTCCTAAACAAGGCGATAGCAACAAGAAGTTCAAAGGAAAATACTATAATTGTGACAAGACTGGACATCGAGCTTCTGACTGCCACCGCCCTAAGAAGGATCATGGAAGTACAAGTAAGAAGATCACCAATCAGGCCAATATAACAGAATTGGATTATATCTCTAACGGAGTGAATGACATCAACCTCTCTGCTGTGGTGTCTGA